TCCCAGATGCGCCTAATTCGCCTCCCACGACCACGAATGCTTCGGCCACAATCAAGGCTCTGGAGTGGGCTTTGTAGTGGCTGGATGTTCACGGGGATACGTATGAGGCTGGTACGCAGATGCCTCGCGCGTCGCAACGAATGGCGCCGCCGTTGGAGGACCCAGAGGCGCCATTCTCACTGGGAGACCCGGGAGACATCATCTTAGGAGACAGTGAGGGCTTACTATTAGCAATTGAAGTCGAGGATGACGTTACCAATGAAGCGGAGAATGAGGCTGACATTGCTGCAGCTCACAAGGACACAGGAGGCGATGACGTCGCCACTCGGGAGTATTGGGATGGTGTTGTGCAAGAACATGAGGAAGTCAAGTGGACACGCCGGGCTTGTATTGTGACTGCCTCGCACGGTTGTCATACGAGGGGTTCTTTGGGTTGTGGTCGTCGCCGTATGGACTGCACTCCGGTAGTGCGGCGTAACCGGTTGGTCTGAATGCCTTGCCGCCAAAGACACTCTCGGAGCGCAATTTCTCGAGGGGTCTGTCAAACACGAAGAAGTCGAGGAGCCCGCTCTCAGTACGAGCCGGCCAGAGTCCTCTCCCGCGAGCCGCGAGCCAGTTGAACCTGCCGCAACCACCGACACAGAGCCAGAAGAGCCAGTCGCCAGCATCGAGTTTGACTAGTACGACTCAGCTGAAGAAATCCACGCACAGATCGTGGTAACGTCAAAGCCTCCGCGGAATACGGAGTAAACCCACCACCGCACTACCCCGTTGCTGGCCCCCGAGACCAACATGTCGGCGATTGACAACAACGACAACGCCGCCGGAGGCGAGCAAGACAACATGGCCAGCATAACCACCCTACTCCAGAGCCTGGTGGACCGGCTGGATCGACTTGAGCAGACGGGAGACCGCACTCGGAGCCTAGATCGTGAGATCACGCCCGCCGAGAGTCTTGGCGGCAATGTATTCAGACCAACCGGTTACGCCGCACCACCGGAGTTCAGTCCGTACGGCGGCGACCACATTTCAAAGAACCCCTCGTATGAAAACCGTGCGAGGCAATCACATTACAAGCCCGGCGTGTTCACTGGCGACGGAGACAAGATTCGAACTTGCGCGGGCGAACCCAACACCGCACTCAAGGTGGCCAATTGGCAATAGCCTTCTCGACGATCCCAATTATTAAGCATTTTGTATGGTACCCGCTGAACTCAGTATACTACCTACCTATGCACATTCAAAAGGAGGGGTTGCTTGGATGATGATCAAAGACTTCCACCGAGAATCTTGGAGAGATGCCAGAGCGATCCAAAGCTCGTCATTGAGCTTGTTCCCAAGTACATTTTCCGCATTTCAAATCCACAGTCGATCAGTTGATCTTTGAAGCATTTGAATTTTGCTCAAGTATGATGTGCGGAATGATCACGTGTTTATGACAAATATCGCAGGTACCGGCGATCGGAGACCTTACAGGTATTATTGACGCTCGTCCGCAACAATTGATACAGATCAAAAGAATTCGAGAAAATAGTACGGAACTCCAGTATGAGCATGCAAATACGAATCGACAGTGGCTCGGGTACCGGCTCGATCACCCTCGAGCAGATCACCAACCAAATGTTGGTGCACCAGAACGAATTGCGGCAGTTGAGGGAGGAGAAGGCGAGTTTGTGTCGTTCTCAAATCTATTACTTTTGGCTGATCGTGACTCGTGGGTCCCATAGAAGCATTATCATGCCTCGCCCAGCTCTTTGACCATGTCATCTTAAAAAAATGAGCGGGTACAAGTACGTGTGTCCTTTTCACTGTTCAGTGCTAAAAGTGCCTCTAATAACGAACGTACTTTGCGTCGCGCACAATGCTTCAAAGAGGTAGTCAAACAAGCCAGAGGTTTTCTCGATAGCTTGCGCCGCTTCTACGAACCAAATGTGACTCAGTATATACAAGTTCCGTGCATCAAAGCGTTCTCTCTTGCTAGAGAGGTGGTGCTGCCTCTTCTTCTTCTATTCCCAGCCGCTCGCATGCTCCGAGTTCGAAACAGCTTGACGAATGCATGAACAAATGAAGTGTCCCTCGCAAGTGTCCCTCACGGAAAGATGCGACTACGGCACATGGCATCCAATACATCGCCTAAATCAGTCATGATACTCCCCATCCACCTCACCACATGGTATTTCACCGATTTCCGTCGCATCTAGGAGAGCCGTTGCCTCCTCAACGTCCTGATTTGTATTTTTCAATTTTATTTTTTGTATAGATTCGTTTTGTTTACATCGATTGGCGACGCTTATTCTTTGTCCAAACGCACTGCAGGGCTATTTCGCATGAAATTCAGATCAACTTTGTGACCCAGCAATTCGCGAATGTTGGAAATGCCGTATTTGATCATCGTAGGTCGTTCAAGAGACAGACCCCAGCCGAAAACTCGCATGTCCTTGCTGCACAGGTAATCAGCATCGACAACTTTGGGAAAATAGAAGCAAATACTTGGTCGTGACTTACGGAAGACCCATGGATTCCAGCATCTCAGGTCGGAACATGCCGCTGTTGCCGATCTCAACTAGCTTTCCAAGACCCTTGTCTATTACGATGTTAACAATAGCTTCCACGATCGCGAAGAGAAGGAACTTACGATAAGAGAAGATTTCCATGCTAGGTTCCGTGTCTGGTACTCATGTAAGTCGGTATCATCACGAAAGGAGAAGAAATCGCGATCTGGGCCACTTACAAGGGTTGTAGGCACACTTGTATTTGAGATCGGTGATGCCCATCTTGCCGAAGAAAATATCCATAAACTGCTACAGTCAGCGATGTTGTTCCTACGCGTCTGACCTAGGGAGGCATTGTATTTTATAATCATACCTCCATGAGACCACCCAAAGTCAGGTCATAATCAGCAATGACACCTTCGACCTGATGAAACTCTGCCAAGTGAGTAGCGTCCACAGTCTCGTTGCGGAACACACGATCGATGGAAAAGTATCGAGCGGGGGGTGGGCGGCCGTCAGGGCCTTTTTGCTGGGCCAGTTTATACAGCATGTTGGCACTGATGGCAGTGGTATGCGTCCGTAGCACCAGCTTTCGAGTCTCATCTCCAGACCAAGGGTATCGGTACCCTATCGATCCATATTTGCCTTCCTGCGCTATGCATCAATAAAAAGGTTCTCCGCAAGTATTGGGTCCATATCGTATCTTGGCATACCTGGTGGACCTCCTGCACGTTATCCCAATAAGCCTTGTAGTCACCTTTGTCATTGCCATCCTCTGCTCGGGGCATATCGGCCTCCTTGGGATCAGAGACATAGAACTGCAACCACCTATGGTCAGCCTATTTGGTTGGCCGCTTCGCAAATTGCGAATCAGGTGCTGCGGTACGTACAGTGTCTTGCATATCACGGGCGGGATGTTGTTGCGGTACAAAAAGCGCATCAAAGTTCCAGAAGCCAGATTCAACGAACCTGACACCAAGTTAGCAACCGACAGGCAGCGTAGCCAAAAATGGCAACATGGCCACAACTTACTTATCTGTAGGCATCTCCTGGAAACCCATCTCAAAGAAGATCTGCCTCAACTCGGATCGAACCTTGCTTAGAGGATGCAAAGCGCCAGACTGTTGATCCGCACCTAAAGCCTTGAAGTTGTATCCCTTGAAATTGGCAGTCTTCCATGAGCCGCTAGCGATCATGTCGGCGGTCAAGTCGGTGGCGACTTCGGGTATTTTGAGAGAGAACTTGTCAGCCTTCTCGATTTTGAAACTGATAATCTTCTGGGTTCGGACAAGCTTGCGCTTCTTCAGATCGGCCAGCATTTTGGCATCGGGACATGATCGCGTCGACTGAATCGTCTGCATCTGCTCTTGGGTCGTGTCTTGTACAGATTCTTTCTATTGAGCGGCTTCCACGTCAGCTACGATTCTCCATCCAAGCTGCGCGAATTCTCGTCATATTTGTAGATGTACTCACGGCCGCTTTGAATTTCCCATCTGCGACATCAGTCGCGTTAGCTACCATCTCGAATATGAATGCGACAGCGGATAGGCAGGTAGTCTCACCTTGGGATTTTGAAATCCATTTCTCCCTGAATGCTCTGCCTTGGCCGATCTTGACAACATTCTTGTCACCAATAGCCTTCTCGAGCTCTTGTATGGTCAACCCTTCGACAGCAGCACGCAGGGCCTCAAAAACGCGAGCCTCGTGGCTGCCATTGGTGGCAATCTGCTCGCCCTCAGGTTCCAGGAGAGCTTCTTCACGGTCAATGGTCTCGTATTTGACCATATCACGCGAAGCAAGTCTGTCGAGAGCGCCCTTGACTTCGGTAGAAAGTATCGCGGGGAAGGCTTCGGTGGAAAGGAGGGGCGATTTCTTGTCCAGCGCATGGAGGATCTGGTGAGCAAGATCCCCTGCGGGACTACTTGTCTGTGCCGCCATGATGAATTGAAGTCGTATACTTCAGATAAGGCGCTGCGAGGTGCCAGCGGCGAGGAATTATTGTTGATGGTTTCTTGTTCGGGCAGTGTGGTCGGATCAGATTACTTGAGTCACACCTCACGCTGCCAAGTCCCCTCAGAATTTCACGGCAGCTGTGCCCCGCCACGGTCCGACGTCGAGGCTCGAGCTCCAGAGGTGGGGTTTATTTGTGATGTGAAGACGAGATTAAAACACCAACCATACAATGCGACCTCATTTCTCATCAAGCCATCTTTGCACATCAAAGATTTATCGTTGCAGTCATGCAAATGACAAAATGACATGAAAAAAAACGAGATGTCCATAATTTTCCCATACATATGTACATCAAATGGCGAATAGCTTTGTCCATGTCCCCTCTTCACGAATCACGAGGCCAACGTCTTTGGCTCTAGGGTGGCACAGACAAAGAGGCCCCAACGGACCATTGTGTAACGCGGGCAAACCTAACAAAATTTGAAATGACCGGTTCAGAACTTCAGACCGACTGATCCGCAAACAAAAAATAAAAGTCTATACCGTGCACATCTCTGGACGAACAGGGAATCGAACCCTGGACCACTCCCAATCGTGGCGAATATGCTAAGGGAGTATTATACCACTAAACCATTCGCCCCATATGTGATGCAAGACGCTACAAAAAGTACACTATAATGCAAAGCCAGTTTTTGGCGAAGCGAAGCGAGGGCCGAAGGCTCTATCTCTCACTTTGCCTCCGCCCGCCGACCCTCCGTACCTCTCACCAAGACTTGCGAGCGATGCCAGAATATCGTTGTAGGTCTCAGGTTCCGAAACGGGGATTGAAGGCGGAAGGTATTCTTCGTACGATTCGTACCGAATCTCGCGATAAAGAAAAGGATCTCGAATAGTAGCATGTTCGCTGCGAGAACACCACTTGACTTGCTCCCCGAGAGGCGCAGGCGACGAGACCCCTTCGCAACAAGTACGCGGGAATTTTGGGTTTGTCGCGATTTAGACTGTGAGAAGGAAATCCTTCGGGCATGCGTATACGAGGAGGCCGCACTGTTGTATTCGTGGAAGCTATTTAGCAGAGACAGAAATGAAAGAGTGAACAAACTTACCGCGCGATGTTAAATACCGCGCGGTATGAGGCCACGTACTGTGTGTCCACGTTCGCATGTGTCGTTGAGGACAGCGATTCATTTATAGATTCATGCATTTCAAAGATGACCCTTAGGCATTCAAAATGAAGAGATTGAACCTAAGATCTTGAGGGTATTCCATTTCAATTCATCAGAAAAAGGATTTGAACCCCCAGCTTCACACACACAAGGTGAACAATTTTCAACGCCTTCATTTTTATCTAATGCTGATTATCTCAACGACAAGAGTAGATATGATTTCGCTGGAAGTCCAAGTGTATACATATGTGATAATGATATCAGATACTCCTGAAACAATCTCGACAGCCAATACCGCAACAGCGGCGCCGTCATGATGTGCGCATTTTTGTCACACGAGCGGGACATATTCGCGAGGCACAACACGACAGTCTCGTTCTAACTCCGAAATATCTAGACAACCAGTATAGAAATCATCTGCCTTCTAATTCCTAATTTCGCTGCTTGGCAAAACATATTCTTCGTAAAGTTGTGCCTGCGATACAATTCTACAAGTTCGAAGACAAGCTTTCAAACGCAGCACAAGACTCTCTGCTTTCCAAAAACGGCATCTGGCCATTGAATAAAAGCTTAGTTCTAGATAATATGAGAGAAAGAGCTGCTTATCACACATCCGCTCCAGAACCTGGCTCGCAGCCTTCTTCTAATTTCCATACACCTATGACAGTCAGGCAGGTGGAAAAGGTCGCTGGTTGGATTGATGCTGCCTGGAGTACTCGGAACGAACACCCACTCGACGAAGATGAATTCGAGCATAAGTGTGGAGAAACTAGAAGAATGTTGTCAGCCAGGTTCTGGAGCGGATGTGTGATAAGCAGCTCTTTCTCATTAGGCAAAACTGAAGAAATCGTGCGGCGACGCGTAGCGGAGGCGCACATTTCGTGTTTGCCTCTTTATGCTCGAGTTTTCAGTTCACATATGAGGGTATGGTGTGGAGCCTTCCTGCCTACTCCTCTTCCCATTGGTCGGTATCCTGAAAAAAATCCGATCACGTGCGCACACATCACGTGACGCAAACACACTCACGAAGTTTTGCCTATTTTTGGCGCGCACTGGCACAGCTTCGCGTCACGGCATTTTTTTGTCTAGAACCAAGCTTTTACAATGGCCATATGCCCGTATTTTTTCTTGGAAAGCAGAGAGTATTGTGCTGCGATTGAAAGCTTGTCTTCGAACTTGTAGAATTATACCGAGGAATTCCAATTTCGTGACGTTGACGACACCTTCACGAACAAGAACCAACGCGTAGACACAAACGTCTCGGAGTGCAGTCTCTCGAGCGGTCGATCAAACACGAAGAAGTCAAGGAGGCCGCTCTCAACACAAGCCTGCCCTAGTTCTCACCCGCGAGCCCCGAACCATTAAGCCTGCCGCACTCGCCGGCACAAAGCCAGAAGGGCAAGTCGCCAGCATCGAGTCTGATCACAGTACGACTCAGCTGAAGATATCGAGACCGATAGCGCGGGCCCGGGCCGTGGAAGAAGAGGAGAATCTCTCTGGAAAGCCTCCGTCTTCTCTCTGCGAGAGCCCATAGCTCCTTTACCCCGGCCGTTGTTTTGGAGACTACCTGCCCTCACGTGCGCCGTTTCTCTCCCGGCGTAACGCGGCCCTGGGTTACGGGTATATCTGCTTCGCAGGCTAGGTGGCCGAATTTTCTCTGTTATTGGTGTCTCCTAAGTCCTAACGTCTCCGGGCTCTCCGGGCGTATTTCCAACACTTCTCTATGTACTCGCGGGCGGACTGCCATTGGGCGGTAGGGGTGGTTGCCGCCCAGGAACGCCCCTTGCGGCGATGGACGCCCACGAAGCCGCTCCGGGGGGAGGGCTTCGGAGAGCCTTCTGGACCGGCTTTTCGACGGACTTGTCCAGATTTTTCGATGTGATGATTTTCTGTGTGTAGCGCTGTAACTCGACGACGGTGTTTCTGAAGCGCGTTGCTTCCGCGTCCAGCATGCTTCGGTAGACCTTTCACACGCCCTCCAGCGGTGAGAGTGATACATACATACCAAGAGTTCAATTTTGTTACAACCGGCCTGTAAATGTTTCGGCACTCGTTACGTGGCTTGGCCGCCTCCGGCTCGACCGCTTCGACATTGACGCTGCCAAGGCCCGAGAGGGTGGTGGCGGCTCTGGGCGAGGCCACGCGTCCCAGAGTCAATAACCATGAGGAGTCTGGACAGTCTGGACAACATCATCTGCTGTCCCAACGCTCAGGAGTCCAGGACATCATGATTCATGTGCCATCGCGAATGGGGGTGATTAATAAGTGCTGCGCATCTGTTTGTCTTTTTGGTTGTTTTGCATGTGTTGCGGTCGTCACCGCGACGATACCACCGTGCAACTCTTCAACAAGTCCACTGCTCTTTTATCGACGCGAAAGCAATTATGTATGTACATAGCGAAAGCGAGGTCTCCAGCCCTGAATCTTGCTAGAGGCCGCTTAGCGAAGACCTCGAGGTACGTGCAGAGGGTAGAATGATCCTCCCCAGTCCTGTCGACGGTTCGACGAGCGTAGGTAATTGGAGGGAAATGAACAAACAGTCCCGACTCCTATCATCCATGATCCATTGAGAAGTTAGAACGCAGCACGAAGTACGAAGTTCAAAAAATTCATTCGGTGACAATACTTGGGTGAATAGGTCACGAAGGAAAAAGTTATGGACGAACAGGGAATCGAACCCTGGACCACTCCCAGATGGGGTAAACATGCTAAGGGAGTATTATACCACTAAACCATTCGCCCGGATGATGTTGCAGACATTGCTGCTATTGAATAATATGAAGTGAGTACAATATATTGTGGAGTCAGCTACATACTTTGGCACCTCGTAAAACTTGCCATCTTTCCACGCGGAAATTTAGTCTACGAGTTGCTGGCCTTTGAACAATAGATTCAAGCAAGCTTAAAGAGATAAAAATAGCAGTCATGAAAAAGGCAGATCTCTGATTCCCCTTCATCGTTGAAAAGTGATGACATTTAGGTCTCTCTATCTGTTTCTGTTCGTCCCATCGTTACGCATAAAATGCAGCATAATTTACCGTGTGCAGGCCAAAGTACCGAATATCGAGAAGGTATTTAGAAAGATGTAAGGTACTCCAGACAGCCTTCTACCAACGCCGAGTAATCAATTCACTGCTCTAGCCAAGACAGCCATCGCACCACAGTATAACCCAAAATACACCATCCATTCTCTGTGTCGCTCGACCTCTTGCAGCAAATCCAATTGTTCTATGACGATACTGACACTGAGTGCGATGAGGAGAACGATTGCCATGCGTCCTACGAAGCTAGGTATGACCGAAAAGATCATGATGGGCACAAGTACCATGCAGATACAAGAAAGAGTCAGTCGCACGAACAGCGCATTGTTAGGCCTGTGTACGATGCCATGATCAAGCCCTGCAGATGGTGCGCTGAGATGATCTTTGAAAAACCCGTGGGATGGCTCTTCTTCGGCTGCCTTTGGCATTGGCGTTTGTTCCTGGACGGTGGTGTTCAAATCGTCTGCAGGCAGGCCTTGCGTGTTCAGCGAGATGAGGTCGCTTGACGCATCCAGAAACCGTGTTTCGTCATCTACAATCAGCTTGCTCGTAGCAAGGTAGGATTTGTACAAGTGAATATCGCGCCATGTCGGTGCTGGAATGTCCTGTACTTTGCAGAATGACTCAAGGACATGGTCTGTCAGATTGTCAGCTCTGCGATCCAAATAGGACAAGAGGTTCGTGATATTTGAACAGCTTGCTTACTGTATTGACTCAATTTGTAACCAATGAGGCCGAGGATCTCTGTCCTTTGGTGCGCCAGGTTGCTGTTGGTCCAGCGATCATGCCGCTGGGACGCTGGCATGACGCCGCCTGCATAGCTTCTCATGGCCGTGTCCTTGGCCTCTAAAGAGATGAGCTGGCGTTCTAAATCTGAAATCTCATCCTGCATGTACAGTAACAGACGATGAGTCAGAGCATCGAATTTGCGGTAGATCGGTGCGACAGATTGGCCACATGAATCACCGGAAAGTTTTGTGGCCAAGAGATGATAGCCGCTGGGCGCCATGTTGTCCAGACGGCTAGCAAGATCAGGATAACCTTGACTTGCGTATATCTCTGAGAAACTGTCATTGTTTGACACGCTACAATTTGATGAGAATGCAGGCAGGCCATTCTGCTCCCAGGGTTGACCGAAGCCCGTTTTGTATGATGCCTCTGAGCCACGATCGTCGTGATCATTCACGGATGTGTCGACCGACGCAAGAGAGGGTTGTTGAGCAGTCCATCCAGACTGTTGCTTCCTATCTTCCCCTTGGTAGCCAGGAGGGAGAGGTTGTCCCCACTGAGTTAGGTGAGGCTGTCCACGTTGAAGTGGATGAGGTTGTCCCCATTGAGGTGGCTGAGGCTGTCCCCATTGAGTTGGCTGAGGCTGTCCCCATTGAGTTGGCTGAGGCTGCCCCCATTGGGTGGGTGGTTGATCGTTGTTCTGC